GGACCTCGCTGTGAAGAAGGCTAAAGAAGCTGGCGTTGGCTGGGTCGTTTGCAAAGGTACTTCATGACCCTGTCGTGGGATAGTTCTGTGAACCGGGTATGATGAATAATTATTTAGGGTCAAATCACTTTGGCATAGCTGGTTGGTATGTGATGAGAGCTATGAAGCAAGGCGTTATGGTAAGTTTTGAAGAATGTTGCTGCATTCCAGTCGGTACCACATGCGGTCCCCATTTTGCCAAACAGAGCAACATTTAAACGTAGTACTCACCATATCACGGTGACGGGTGGGCGTGGCTGCGCACCTTATTTGAACCTAACGACAGCCGCGTGTTTTCTCTAAGATATTGCTGTTCTGCGGCAATCACTGCCGTGTCGTTGTATAGCCCGGGATAGGGTGGCAGTTGTCCTTAAATATCCCGCAGGAATGGTTCAACTGATGTACTCAGCCACGCCCTCCACATCTCTTTGGTATGGAATGAATACCGCTCCATCGTTTGCAAGTACACGATTGCTTGTGTCGCCGACAACAAGCGAAGTTTTGTGATCGCTTCAAAGAAGACCCTAAATTCAAGCATGCAATATTTTGTTTTCTGGTTATGCACGTCGAAATCAGTGTACCTCCTAAGACACTCGTCCTTAGGAGGCGAGATAAGGGTAGAAGCGGTGGCAGTTTTCGTTTACAGTTCCTAAGGATGCTTTAAGTTTTGATAGTCTTGGAAATATTCAGGCTATGTCGTTCACCAATACCTCGCCTGTGATGTATCCAACGAGAGCTGCCAAACCCGCCTTGGGTACAAATCCTTTGTCGCTTGGCGCCAACGGTTTGGGGGATGACTCATATGTTCTGGACATGGCAACAACCACTGTGGCTATCGGCAAGGTATTTCAGTTTTTTTCTGATTTATTCTGTTTCTCTGTTTTCAACTAGGCTGGATTTGGCGCGGCGTCAACCCCTTTTCTACCGATTAGCCCACTTCAACCTCATTCAACGCTTAGCGGAGAACAGGCTAATGTCCCGTCAAACCCAGCCCCCCCCCCCCCCTGCTCTGACGAGCTCCAGCGCCTGCACCGTAAACGACTGTATACTCATGGACGAATTTGAATATACTGCCTCCCCAACGACTGCTGGTGTTTGCTGGTTTAAGCCTTTGGCCTCCCAAATTACTCATGTACTTCTAGGGTGATGTATCGTTCGAGGTACCGTATAAGTTTGAGACGTGTTAGTGCGCTCGAGGGCCCTGTCCACGCTAATCGTGTTGGCGGGGAAGGGGAGGGCTAGTGAATAAAGCCCAGTGGTTCCCTGCTTTGTCCAAGTGGCCGGAATGGTCTGCACCTTTGGAAATCGTGATTGGGTAATTGGAGAGGGGAAGGGGGAAGAGGCAGTGGATTAGTAGTCGCCTGCACCAAATTGGAGGTTAGAACTAAGCTTCTTTACTGGAATTTGAAGTTGGCGCATTGCCTCAGTGGTTTCCCTAGGGCGACCTATATCTTTATGGACCAACACCCTCAATCTGGCCGTATGGCCAGCGGTTGCCTACAAATTCCGTGCACCATTTGACGGTTATAAAGTTTATACAGGATCGTTTTATTGCTAATGTTTAGGTAGAAATCGCAAAACGAAAAGGCCTTGAAGTACCCAACACATGGGGTGTTGCCAAGGGCGGAGCTGTCAGCCATAATCCGGAGGAGATCCTTCACGGAGGAGGACTTCTACCACTTGGCGGCAATGAGATCTGTGGTAAGAATAGTTTAATGTTACCTAATTAATAATAATTCATCCAGCCCGGCACAGAATGGGACGTGTCTAGCAAAATTCTCCCAAACGCCAGGACATCTATGGTAGTGAGGGAGGAGGAGGAAGGAGGAAGGTCTGGGAGAGGAGCTGTCCTCTGTCTGCACCCACGCAGCCAGATCGAACTGCGCCTCTTAAGACACCAATTTAGCTGGGTATATGGACTGCTACCAATCCAACAACGCCCAGGGCACGCCGTTCACTGAGGAACCCTAAGTGGAAGTCGTGTTTGGTTGCTGGAGGGAGGGCGTGGTCCCAGCTGGCGTGAAATACTTTTTCATTTATTTCACGCGTGCTGTCCACATCGCTGGAGGACTCTTATTGGTGGGGTGAACCTATGTGCTCATCGGTTTAAGAGGTGGAGGGGACGAATCTGGCCTCAACAAAAAGTTTCTCGGCTGTTGACGTTTGGCGGTTTTTCCCCACCCTGCCCGCATCCCGTAGTTGACGGCGCAGCCAAAGTCCTACAGGTATTATTTTTAGATAGCTGAATGCAGTAGTTTTGTGGTGTGCACCCCCCCCCCATCCCGCTGGATGGCAAAGTTTAAAAGAGAAGTTTTGGAAAATGTGTTACGAAATGGGGAGAAGTCAGTAAGATGATAGATGATCTTTAGGATGAGGAGGGGAGGGAATGGTTCGTATTTTCCAAAGGTTTTTCAGCGACAGGAAGTGCGTCGCGTTATCTGATTTCAGGTGGCTACAAAGGCT